TTGTTTCCTAAGTGTTAAAATAAAAAATAGAAATTCTGAAATACAATTTGATTATTTTACCATTACTATGGAAATTGTCAAATGGACATTCTTTTTCCAGTAGTTTTTCTGTAGTCCCCCCCATACAAATGTGTAAATTGGGATATATATATTGTTTTTGAGAAAATGTTGTATTGTGTTGTTCAAAATGTTTGCTTACATCGTCCACCCCTATAGTGTCTTGTTCTTGCTCCGTTTCTCGTCATGTCTACAGCACTGCTGAGCCATGGTATAATCACTGTAACGTCTTTTATGACTTATTGCTTCCCTGCTCACCTCCCTAGTTTGAGTCTGTTACTAATAGCCACACGGACCTGATGCCTTGGCACGAATGACCTTTGGTCTAATTGAGTGTTGCATGAGGATCCTGGTGGGTGTTCCTCTGGTAATCTGATGAATTCCAGCGGAGGTGAGGAGAGCGGTAACGTCTTGGACTCCTGCGTGCTGCCAGAGGAGTCCATGGCAGATGGTTTCCAGCAGGATCACATATGACATGCGATAACGTTACAGTCAGGAAAGGTCAGTCAGCACGGCACTGCAGAGTCACCCGCAAAGGACACGATCCACACGTTCCCGGGCCGGACGGGATTCATGTATGTGCGTTGTGTTCCTGTTAGTTGCGAGGCAGGGTTAGTGTTTAAACATGACATTTCTCCCCTCTTCCTCTACCTTGGTGTCAATGTACAGAGGACAGTCCAAATATTTGTTTAAAGTGATGAACCTTGTGCAACCAAGGGCACTGCATTTGCATGATGATAAAAGGCGCTTTATGCTCTCCTGTAACACGTTCAGTGTGTCACTTTTTGTTTTTATGCCATTTCTTTGTTCAGACAGGCTCTAGGGATGCATATGGCACCAAAAACTGTTTTGTTTTTTATTGTAAAACATGTATGTTGACCCTGTTTAGCTATTTAAAAGAATACCATCAGATATTTTAGTATTATTTATATACTATTATAGTTTATTATAGCTTTTATGTTTATATTTTTTTATTTCAATTTAGTTTTTTTTATATATATATATATATATATTTCTGTTTAGCTTCAATTTCTTTTTACCTCAGCTTTAGTTTGAGTACTTCTTCAACTTATTTTATTTCAGTTAGTTGCCAAGGCAGCATGTCTAATTTTTATGTAGGTTTTCATCTAATATTATGTTATTTCTGCTTTTATTTGCACCTTTTCAACAAAAAAGAGCAAAAATCAGTGGATCACAATGGAAGTGAAATGTTCGATCCGTAAACATTCAAATACTATTTCAATAGTATATCCACAAAAAAACGTAAGCAATGTGCGTAAGCAACTACCCATGAAGTTCCCTTATATTACCAGTACTTTCTTGGGTAAGTACACCTACTGTAAAATAAAAGAGTACCCAAATTAATAAGTGCTCCTATAACATAATCATCACATTTCTGCTTTTTAATCCTATAAAAATTGGGCCTCATTCAAGTCTGTTGTAAGTGCTTCACTGTAAAACGTGTGGTTGTAATGAACCCAGAATATTCCTTTAAGAAGCCTTTTGGAGATGCCTCCATGCTAGGATAGAAACCTTTCTTACAAACACACTCTTGCAGAACTCTAGCAGATTAAAAACCAAAACCAGCTCGTCCAGCTATTCGCTGAGACCTTTTTTTTTCCTTTTTGCTGGATGGTGGATGTCGTCTCTAGAGTTTGTTCGGGGCTGTCGTGAACGTCAAGTAGTTCTGCCTCAAAAAAAACGTGTATTCCAAGTCGGCCTGGCTAGTGTCTCAGATGCCGTGGAGAGTCATCTAATCCCCTGAAACGGAGACAAACAATCTGTGGAAGAAGGTTAAAAATACACCAGTGAGACATTTTGAAATTCCGCCTCTGTCTGAGTTCAGTGCTAAGGTTAAAGATCCAGCATTCAGATTAGACTCCCCCACTGGGGAGGAGATAACAGGCACGCAGATTGAAAAGAGAGAGAGAGACGTTTGGGGTGGGGAGGGGGATTTGAGATGTCTATCTGGCAGTGTGAAGGTTTTTGTCTTGCAGATCCAGTTCAAGGACGCCTAGAGGCAAGGCAGCCCTGACTGTGCCATCTATGCATCTCAAGGTCACATGCGCTCACCCTGTGACTCTCAGCAACAACAGGAAGAGGAGGGCGGGGGAAATGGGGGCACTGTAAAATCCTTCATTTACCCCATGGTTAACCCCTCAATGCCTTCCTGTGACCACAAATATTGTGGCTGCGTTGAGGCGCCAGTCAAAGGCTGTCTTCGATTATCCTCAAACGCTTTGAAACAACTCTGCAGTGCCACATATTCCGGTGCAGCCAGGAAAGAGGGTGTGTGTGGTTTAAAAATCTGGATGAAATGGAGGGAGAGAGGTTTTAACCTAACTTAGCCATTCAAACGGTCATGCTAACCGCTTCCTCTCATGCTTTTAACTCATGCATCCGTTTTTATCTGTGGCGATTAACAGTTAAAGCTCTGTTAAGTCTGCAGTCTCACTGCCCTAGTGCCCTGCGGTCATACATGAGCTTAGTGTAAAATTCCCCTGTTTTATGTCACATGGCAGTTTGTTTGACTAGTTTTGTCTAAAAGAATCTTACTGGTGTTGAGAGAGCATTTAAAGGATTAGTTCATGACGTACTTTCTTCTGGGGAACACACATTTTTGTAGAATATCAAGGCTACTTTTTCAATATAATGGGAGTGAATGAAAACTGGAGTTGTCAAGCTCCAAAAAGCCCCCAAAGAATTATCATAAAAGTGGTTCATTTGACTCGTGCATTGTATTTCAAGTGTTCTGAAACCATTAAAATACCTTTGTGTAAGGACCACATACATTACCTTTGTGTAAGGACTCTTTCTTTCGCATGTTCATGCCAGTTCATAATACAGTAGTCAACATTTGAAGTGGATCAAAAAAGACAAGAACGTGTATTGTTCAAAATGCATGTATAACTTTGATGAAAGGTTTTGATCCACTTCAAATGTTGACTACTAGAAGTAGTATTTTCTGATTTGTGGATGGATCATTCTTTTGAGCAGGATCTTGTCAATGAATCATTTCATCCAGTTCACAGACTGTGTTTCCCAAAAGCTAGAGATCATAGAACCATCGCCACCAATGGTCTCTACGAACAACTTGGCTCACGATGCTTTTGAGAAACGCAGCCCTGGTCTGAATGATTCGTTAGCAATTTAGATTCCTTAGTGATTCTACCTGATGTTTGGCTTCAAAAAAGCAGCGGCCGTGTACTTGAGGTATCTGTGCTAAACTAATCTGTCCCTCAGGCGTCCGTTATCACCGTTTTGCGACTTTTCGATTAAATGGAGAAACCATGGAGACTTAATGATCAATAACCACTGTCATGATTCCGGATTCTGTCTGTCGTAAATCTTCTGCCGGCTGGCAACCAGCTCATTTCATTTCGCTGTTGCAGATTAGTTTCCGTCTTACTCAAAACAGAAGTGTTTTGAGATGATAAATTATACAATCACAACAAATTTGTCAACAATTTCCGCGCTCCTTGACACACTGCTGAGACCGAAACATTCGTCTAGTTTGCATTGCAGTGCATTGTCCTAAAAACACACACCCAAACAGACACTCACACACATAGTGCAGAAAGGTCTGAGGCAATGGCGGGGGAAGAGCATAAATCTTTAATATTAACGAGTCTTGCTGTGGCAGGAGACCCAGCAGCTTTGTCCCTCTCTCCTCTCGGCTCGCCTACGCTCCCTCGTCATTTAATTAACAGTAGGGAGATTATGGAGGCCCCAGGCCTGTGAAGATCTGATTTAAACATGGAAATGTTACATTACTGTCACTCTTTTGGCAGAAAAAGGCTGGAGAGGAAGTGAAAAGATTATTTCTCTGGCTCTCCAGTCCTCCACATTAGTGTATGGTATCTCAAACTACATCACAATATACTGTACAAGTCGTGATTTAATACATTACAGTGCTTTACATAATTGGATCACGATTGAAAGTGAAACTTCAGTTCCACGTTCTTTCCGGTATGGATTTGGCCATTTTAGAAATGCAAGTTTCAGAGGTTTCACTTATGTCGACTATCTGCTGCTTTTTTCAGGAAAATTAAAAGAATGCGCAAATAAGTAAATGGTAAATATAGACATATTAGAAGGATTAATTGAAAATCCAAAAATTAAACCCAGAAATAAACTAAACATTTGACAGTTTTATAAATAAAATAAAAATGTATGATACACTAAATAAACAAATAAATGGCATTTTATGAATTTTTTGGCCGATACCGATAACCGATGATTCTTTATATTTGAAAGCCTATAACCGATAAATCTATATCCAAATTTTTATATCATTTTTGAGTGCCTGATTACAAGAACAAAGTTATTCTCATCATTAAAAGCCATGCCCCAAACACACAATTATAATGTTCTCATTTTATTTTATGAAGCCTATATGACAGACTTTTGCTCTGCATGTTGCACTTTTTTCCTTTTTTGAAGTGATTCTATTCATATTTAAAGCAATTGAAAACCATAATGGCGAACAGTGCGAATCTGAAGTGTCTCAGCTGAAGGAAATCATTCATTATTTATTGGCTTTAATATATCAGTCAAATTTTCTTATCGGGCCGATACTGACAACATCAAACATATGAACATATATCGGCCGATACCGATATAGTGGCCGATATATCGTGCAGTTATTGTATCAACCCTATATTCACCATTTGGGTATTTTTAGGTACAGTAGATGTTGCTCCTGGTGTCTGGTGCGGGATGAGCAGGGCATGCCGGTAATCAGGTTCCAGTGCCCGCAGGCTAGAAACCTGGAAGCATCGAACATCATGTGTTGCCCAGGCTCTTTCCTTTTCCTGGAACCGAAGCGGTTAATGTTTCGCTGTAATTGGCACCCGCAGCTGCTCTCCAGTTGGACAGGGATGAGTTTGGAGCCTCTGCCTTGCGTGACAGCTGCCTAATTGGGCATTCTCCCCTTGTGGCAGGTGCCTCCTCCTCCAGCCGGGCTGCTGAAGAATGGCAGAGGATTACAGATGAGGACATGGTGACCCTCTCTACCTTCCATTGGTGTGTGTGTGTGTGGGGGGGACTAGTTCAATACTGTTGGGTTATCAGGAGGAAGTGAGGGTGGGGTTCTGCCAGGTGGCGGATGACAGAGTGTCACATGACAGTGTCAGTGTGTCAAGGGCACATACATCAGCCCTGCTACAGCAACCTGTTTTTTTTTTTCTTCTGTTCGTTGTTTTTGAGGTTTTCACTCTAGTTTTATAGCTCCTGACTGTCTTCACACGTCAGTTCAGAGAGGATGTCAGCTTCCTGTGTGTTCCTATGTAACTTCTCTTTCTATTCTCCAGCTGTATGAAACCAGGTGAGGTCGCGTCCTCTTGTTAGAGGCGATTAATGGCACCGTGTGTAAAAAGCTAATTATTCCTGCTGATGTAAAATGTGCTATTGGCTTTACTGTATCGCTGCCCTGTTGACTGCAGAGCAGAGGGGACTAACCGCACAGTAGCTAGCCTTGGCCTAACGGTTAGGACATGTGTTCTGTTCTCACACATTGAGCCCTGGGGCTCATGCGGCTGTGAGAGTGTATACATATTTTTTTTTTTTTTTTTAAATGTGTTTTATATATATATATGTGTGTGTGTGTGAAAGATAATTAAACTGTAATAAGCATCATAAAAAAAATATTTTTTAAATAGTCACCCGTTCAAAAGTTTGGAGATTTATTCTATTTAAAAAGATGTTTTTGAAAGTAGTCTCTTGTCAAGGCTGCATTTATTTTATACAGTAAATACTCATATTTTGAAATGTTATTTTAAATAACTCTTTTCCATTTTACTATATTTTTTTTAAGTAATTGATAACTGTGATTGCAAAGCTGAATTTTCAGCATCATTACTCCAGTCTTCAGTGTCACATGATCCTCCAGAAATCATTCTAATATGCTGATTGATGCTCAAGAAACATTTCTTATTATTATTATTATTATTATCAATATTGAAAACTTTTTTTAAATTTGTGTTGTCCATATGTGGACAACACACATTTTTTACATATTTTGTACATATTAGTAGAGAAAAGATCGATAATAACACTGCTTATAAATGTCCAATGACCCATATTAAAATCTGTCATTCAGTGCAGCAAGAAACACATTAAATCTGGGAGCTGGGCATTCAAGATTCAGCTCAATCCCTAAATTGTGATAAATTGGTTTTCTCCTCTGACATATCTTTCCCCTTGAGTGTTTATATGGGTGACTGCTCATGTGTTTCTTTCTGAATGTTTACCTTGGATGCATCTGTACCTGTGTGTGGCGGCGCAGGTGCGTGTTTGGTTTCTGTTTTGTATATTTCTGGCTGTAAGCGTGTCCACGTGCGTGTGTTTGTGTTCAAACGGGGCCGTGCAGCTGGGGTTGTACTCCAGGTTTGACTTTCACCTGATTTTCCCCCATAGCTATTTCGAAGTGTCGAGTGGAACGGCCGTGTAATCTTTACCCTGACGTGTACACAAGACACGGCCTTGAGAGTTTTCTCATTCCTCCCAGCCAGAGCAACCCAAGGAAAGAGTTGAAATGTGTGTTTGAGTGAACGTGTGAGAGTGTGATTGGGATTATTTGTGTGTGTGTGTGTGTGTGTGTGTGTGTGCGCGGAGAGAGAGATTCATTAGTATTCTGCTGAGGAGTCCTGCCGGTAGAGCAAATTGATTACCACACTTCACCTGTCTGAGCCTCCCGAGATCTGCAGCGAAGACGGCCATTCTGTCTGCACTCCCGTCGACTTCGTAACAGAGGGCCACTCTCATTAGCCGTCATTAAACAAAGCTTATAGTTGGGATACTGTTGTCTTAAGTAGTCCAAGCAAGTGTGAAGATTGCTGTTACAGTCCTGAGGGGTTTCTTGACATGAAGATTTCAAGCGGTTGTTAAAGGTGTTTTGTTGGGGAGGGGAATAGATTGTTTGTGTATTTGTGTGTGCTTTAAATTGACTCATCCGTTCAGGTGACCTTTTGGAGTAAGACTGCAGGAGTAAGGGAATTCATATCTGTGCTAAACACTTGTGAAGTGTGGAGAGGAGTAAACCAGAGGAGTTCTTCTGCGATTATATATTGCGATTTAAAAACAATTTCACCAGATTATTTGAAAAGAATGAATGATTCTAGAAAAATTGGGGTGATGGAGGAGTGAATCTGCATAGAATATTATAAAAACGAATTACAAGCCTAGATCAATATAATTGAAATAAGCAGTGCTTTATGTTTTTCAGGTAAATCTAACAGCATTCAGGTACAGAAATGGAATAATCAAATGTAAAATAACAGTCTGTGCACAGAAAACAGCGCGCGAGTCGTCTTGCTCATGATGCCTGACTCGACTTAAAAACACATGCAAATGATAAACTTTGACTCTATGATGGTTCAACTTTGCAAATAATCCGCGAAACACATGCGTTCTGAACCGGGTTGGCCCTTACGGATCAACTACGATGCCTATACTTGACATCGCACATCGCGAGATCGATGCTGAAACGATATATCGTGCTGCCCTATTATATAAAATAATTATTTTTGAAGACAGACTTTGAACTTTTAGGGTAATAAGAAGTTTAACAAGTCTTCAAATTTGACAGTTGTATAGGCTTTACATAAGAACATACTGTATGTATGGATCAACATGGAAGATCCCTTCATTTCCCCTGAATGCCATTACCTGTTAAATTTCTTTGAATTGCAATTCAGGAAATTCCACTTCCTATCACTGCAATTCAAATTCAACTTCAACTTCTTGTGGGAGTGACCAATTCAATTCAAACTTCGAACTTGTGTAGAACGATCTTTGCCTGAGACGTGGTGTAGTTGTAGGAGCAGTGAGGAAGGGGGTAAGATCTATTTGTAACTGCCTGTGTTGCTATTAAAGAGACAGCGGGTGAGTAGATATGGAGGAGTTGGCAAGTGGAGTCAAAGTGTTTCTGCGAGTAGCTGGAGCATGTGTGTGCGCACTCCAGCCCCAGTGATAAGAGCGCAGAGTGAATGAGATGCTGTAATCTTACTCGGGTCTCATTTCGTTGGCATGTTCCGCCAACTTTTGTGCCAGCTGAAATGATGCGCCAAGAGGAGGAACTCGGGTGCTTTGTGTTCTCATTGGTTAAGTGCACTTAATCGATTAAGAAAATGAAAAGAATCTCTGGTTTGAATTTAATTACTAGCCGCATGCTGAAGTTTATAAATATGAACATTTTGGAGTTACTTGTCATGCACAGAGCAGCAGAATTATAATGAACTAGGGGTGTAACGCGATATACAGTTAGTTTTATCCAAGACTCAGCTTACTGTATTTATAAGGTATAATTCACCCAAAAATATAAATTCTGTCATTACTCACCTCATGTTGTTTCAAAAGATTTTCATTCAACTTCCAAACACAAAGGAAGATATTTTATATTAAACCTGAGAGATGACCTTTTGTGATCTTTTAAATAAAAAAAGTGATTCAGCATAAATTATAGACTTTAATTTTATTTATTTGTTAATGTGCCATACAACATGCAATTTATTTTCCTGTATGTTTTATTATTTTATTTACCGGTAATTACATTGTCCCCCCTTTTTTACAGTCTGTAGGCAGTGTGTGTTTACTAATTGGTCATGTCTCTTTTGAATAAGTTCGCTGTCAAGGGCGTTTTTGGTTCGTTTCTTAGTAAGTTTGTTCTGATTGACTTGGTTTTAGACTCCGTTTGCAGAGCTCCATGGCATCTCAGCAGCTGTTTACTTGCTCTCTGCTTTACTCCAAAAGAGCAAAAGTTCACTGATGTGGACGCTACAGTCGTGTTTGTTTAGGTAGCACGTCGCTCCCCTTATTTAATTTTCTTGAGCCATATTGGATTTACAAAATCTGTCCTGCGTATCTGAGTGAGCGCCCCTAGCCTGGCTGAACACCAGCTGCCTACGATAACATGATGGAAAGTGGTTCACACGGCTCCCTTTCCTTTAAAATTTCTTTAACCTTGGCTTACCTTTAACGCCGGGGAAGCGTCTGCCAGTCTGGTGTCAGATATTAGCGATATGCGCAGCAAGGACCGGGTTGTCACTTTTTATTAACACTGAGCACTTTGCATGGACTCCAGCTGTTGCGTGGCTCAGGCGTACTTGACCTTGACTCACAGCACAGTTCCTGCGGCTCACCCTATTTTTAATCATGCATTTTAAATGGTGCAAATGGATTACGGTTCCTTATAATGGGGATCATTCATTAACCTTTTTTTGTTGGGGTACTTTGTGAGAAGGGTTGGATTCCAATTAATTTTATACCCCACATGTGAGCAGCACCGGATTGGCTTTAGATATCAAATCCCTGACATTTGCGTCAAGAAGTTAGGCGTTCACAGTTAAGGCCATATTTTGTCCAGCTCCTCAGGGGAAATTGCCTCTCAGCCACTGATGATGGTTTGACCTTCCTGCTCGTGGTGTCTGGGTGAGCAAAGAGAGACGCCCTGCCATGATAAAGCTTCCTGTCTGCTGCTGTTCCCTTCACCACTGGCTAGTGAAATCACTTAAAATGCTGTTGGGTGTGAATGTTTGACATTGTCAGAGATAATGGATAATCACTTGCGGACCTCTCCGGAAGGGAGAGAGATGGAAGGGAGAGGGAGAGGGAGAGAGAAAACATATTTTGTATTTCTTGTTCAGAAGGGTCATGTGCAGAAAAGACAAATGGAGTTAATGCTGTGAGATCGAATCTTAGGCCTGTGTTTTTTGTCTCTTGTATGCCTGCTTCCTCTCAGAATAGACTCTCAGAATATAAGATTGTGGAAACACTTCAATATGGGGAACACACATTAACTATAAACTACAACTTTTGCCTCAATAAACTCCTAATTTACTGCTAAACTATTAGTAAGGTCGTTTTTGTAGTGTTTAGGTATTGGGTAGGATTAAGGGATGTAGAACAAGGTCATGCAGAATAAGGCATTAATATGTGCTTTATAAGTACTGATAAAGAGCCAATATCCATAGGCGTCATTTACGGGGGGGACGGGTGGGACATGTCCCCACCACTTTTTGCCAGGGTCGATATTGTCCCCACCACTTTTGAAACATCTCGCGGCACGGATGTACCAATACAAATAAAACATTTCCAGTTAACTAGCAGCATTCGTTTCATTCATTTGTAAAATAAGAGGCGATCTAGCGCTGAAATGTGTTGTCTTGGCAAAAATTCTGCCACTGGACCATTACAGTACATACGCAACACAAGCGGATCTATGTATTTATTCACGTAAAAATTCACGATACTAACAACATATATTAGATCTCATTGTACGACCAATTAAACCCAAAGTTCCATCACATTTTTGGCTGGACATCACATCTTTGTATACATTTTTATTTATTTACATCAGTAAGCTACAGGACATCGTCTTTCAAAACATGACCTGCGCGAAAGAGAAAAAAGAATGAATGCGTCATTGTACCCAGCACTTTTGAAAATGCCCTTCCGAATGCGTCTGACGCCCATGCCAATATCCTAGTAATATGCATGCTAATAAGCAACCAGTTAATAGTGAGAATTGAACCCTAAAATAAAGTGTTACCAAGATTGTTACTAAAGTAAATAAGTATGTATATACATATTCATAGTCCTGCTGGTTAGGAATCATTCACCCAAAAACGAAAATTGTCAATTTCTTCTCACCCATGTCATTCCAAACCTGTATGACTTTTTATTTTTATTTTGCAAAACGTAAAAGATATTTTCCAAAATGCTTCTTTTTTTCCCATACAATGTAAGTCAGTGTGGTCTCATGTTGTTTTGGACCCCACTGACTTTCATTGTGTGGAATAAAACTCAAAGAAAGAAAGTCATACAGGTTTGGAGCGACATGAGGGCGAGTAAATGATGACAGAATTTTCATTGTTGCTGAACTATCCCTTTAGTTTTCCTTTTGTTTTTATGGCTAAGATCTAATCTAGCTTGATCCGATTGTAGACCAATATTGATTTGTCTTGAATGATGCGTTTACTTTTATTGTTCTTATGGTCCAGTTTTTCAGCTTGTCTGTGTATCTTCTTTCTTCATCTGTCCCAAGTTTGAACTTTTATTCCTCCATTGGCAGGAAATTAATTTTAATCTGGCCCATTAAGATTAGCGTGAGACATCAGATGGCCCAGTTTTAGCAGGTTGCCCTCTTTGTTGTTAAATTTAGGTCAGTGGCCCAGGCTGATAATGTAACTGAGACTGAATTAGTTAATGAATTAGTTTTCCTCTCTGCTGTCCTCGCAGTCGTAACTTGTTGCGTCCAACCTTTGCAACTTAATGCAGTTTGCATCACATTTAAATGCATGTGACCTTGTGCTGATTCTCGCAGGATTTTCCTGTCACGTCATCTTGAGGATCTTAAGTTACTACAGCACATTCAGGATATTCCAGGCGTGAGCATGCTGTTGAATTGCTGTAACAGCATCCCCAGCTCAAGGTCGAGCTAAACTCCTCAGCAAACCACTGAAACACGTTACCCCGTTGCTGAAGGGGCAGGACATGGAGGGTAAGATGTTCTCTGGCAGCTGAGCACTGCTTTAGGGGAGCTGGAATCCTGTATTAATTAACCTTTGTGATGGTGGCCCTGACAGTGGGAAGTCAGGAGTGTTTATGGAAGCAGTTCTGACAGGGTTCAGGCCCGTCGAGCGAGCAGCCAGCGGTGCTGTCATGTTATCTGATGCCGTAGCTCTGTGGAGGAACGGTCTGACAGGTGTGCCATGTGTGCCCCTCTACACCTGCCAGCTCTGCTGAGCCACTACTGGCCCGAGTATGAGGGGCTGCTGACAGACGTTTTTAAATGGGTATTATTCACTTCTTTGGTCCTGTTATGCCAGGTAAACTGTCATATCTGTGGAAGTGGAACATTTTTATGTAGATTATAGTCCTAAAACTTGTTTTTCAATAGTTTTAACAATTGTTTTTCAGTCATAATATAACTTGGTATTTGCTCATATCAGGCAGAGAGTGTGTTTATCAAAAAGAGCAGATCTGTGTTAATGTTTTACTTGAGGAAGCACTGATATTACAAGCTGATAATTATTTTCATATAATAACTGATGATGACCGATAAATAACAAGCATCAAAATTCTATACTGTTTTTGTCATAAGTGAATGTAGGCATCACAACATTTTGTGAGTGATATTTATAGTGTTCATTTTTTAAAGATTCTTAAGTCTCAGGATTCTTCCTGCAGGCAAGAAGTTTTCCTTCTTACTAACAAAGTTTAAGCAAATATCTTTCTTTTGGATGTAGTATGCATAAACACAGGTTCACTTAGATTTAATAAACCTTAAGATGTACATTTACTCTCCTTAATCTGTGGAGATACCGATAATTCTCAGAAATGCTCAGCCTCATGGGAAGTAATGGACATTTAAAGACTTTCTTTACGTAAGAACGAACATTGAGAGGTACTAAAGCTGGGTGTCAGAGCAGCTTGATTGACATTTGCTGGAGTCACTATAAAGAGTTTGTCAAAAAGAACCTTTGTGTTCTCTCTGAAGTTTTCTCTTTTTTTTTTTTTGCTTGAATTTAATTAGTTATTTTGTGATTAATTGGTCTTGACAGAGACTTCAAAGAAAGTTACAGTGGTTGTTTTGATGATGCTGGGATGTTGAAGCCTGTCACTCATGGTGTGTTCTCTCTTCTTGTGCTGTAGGTTCCCGTGTGGCCACATCTGAGATCAGAAGAGCAAACAGGAAACACTGAGCCTTTGGTTTCTCCCAGAATAACTTCCAAATATAGAGTGTTTGCTTCATCAGGACAGAGAAATCTCCTCTCAACATCATTTTAAAGCAGTGTGGATTTACTCATGCACAGCAATGGCAGCTGGGTTGTCGTACTTTACATTACAAATGCCCTCTAGTCCTATATGTAAAACTTTTTGAATGAAAAGAAACTAAATCCAAAGCGCTACTGGAGTTCTCTGCTCTCATCATTTATGGCACAGATCTGAGACATTTTCAGTAGTTGTAAAACACCACATCAGGGCATCCTGCTGTTGAACATGACTCATGGGGTGGAGTCTGGCCCTGAAACTCACCAGGATTCTGCTGCTTTAACATATCTGGAAGGTTTGCTAATGCATCCGGTCACCACTGGGCCTGCTGCCACTACCACACAGAGATCAGAACCTGTTCAAAACAACGTGGAGAATGCCAACAGGGTGACTAGGGTGTTTCAGCTCCCCAATCGTGGCTCCCCCTTGCCAGACAAGGGTAGACCACCTAGTGCTGCCTCACAGCACCTTAAAAAAGCCAGACTGCTTCGCTCAGGAGCGTGGAATGAAGATGACAGCCAGAAACGATCAGGCACTGTAGTGGAAGTGAATGGACAGAGGAGGGAGCACTACAAAGGAAGCCTGGATGGCTCTGCGCAGGGAGAGAGCACCTTGCTGGCTTCTCTGCTGCAGTCCTTCAGCTCTCGGCTACAGAGTGTCGCCTTGTCACAGCACATTTCTCAAAGCCACAAACCGCTCGACAGGGAGAGCAGTGAAAGTGCTCCTGTTGATAAGGAAACCTACCAGAGTTACGGCACAGCGTCAGGCCGCCTAAAAAGCCTCATGAGGAAAAGCAAGCACCAGAAACAAACAGTGCCTTACTGTTGTCAGAGTAACCAGAATCGAGGCTCTGATTCTCCTCATTCCTCTCAAAGCTCTGCCCAGCCCTCTAGCTCAGAATCATTGTCCTGCGCAGAGCGTCTCAAGGCTGTTGCCAATATAGTACGGACCAGGACCAGTCCGGCCCCTTCACCCAAGCCCAGTGTCGCTTGCAGTCAGCTGGCCTTGTTGCTGTCCAGCGAGGCTCATCTACAGCAGTACTCCAGAGAACAGGCCTTAAAAGCACAATTAATCAGTCGATCAGCCAGCGAGAGGTTAGCTGCCATGGCTACTCAAACGCAGGATAAGAGGCCTCCCAGCATGGGGCAACCAACAACCACCTCAGACATGCTAAGCTCCTTAAATGTTCAAAATGGAACACTCCCCCCACCAGTGATCGATTCTAGCAAAAGAAGCCCTCCCCTTTCCTCACCCACCATGAGACCCCCCAAAGAGAGACGGCCCTTCGACAGACAGGGTCGACCGCCACAGAACTGCAGCAGTCTATTGCTTCTACTTCTCAATAATCACAACTCCCAGCAGCAGCTCACCAGAAACGGACACCTGGAGGACGACTGCAGGATCCTCCCGAGCCAGGCCTCCTCCCTGCATTCTGACAGCGAGTACTCCAACCACGATAACAGCCTGACCAAAGACAGCAGTGATACTGAGAGTTTCTCCAGCTGTTCCCCCATCGACCTCTCCATGAAAAACAGAGGGCCTAGCCAAAAATCTGAGCCCTCCTCTTCATTAACCCCCTCTGTGGAGCCCGCAGAGTCTCTCATAAACAAATGGAAGCTGGAACCTTCCGTGCCAATGGTCCCTGAGGCCACAGATCTGGATACCAGCCCAGACATGAAATCCCATGATAAGGTCACTCTAATGCAGTTACTGCTGGACCGCAGAAATAACGAGAAGGTAAACAAAAGTCCAGATAATCCTGGTTTGCGGCCTGACTCAATAATCGGCAGCTTGACTACAGGCCCACTTAAACGAATTGGCACACCTGAGGACAGCAGAACACTGAGTCCTCTGCACCGGCAAACAGCTATCTTCAGCTCGGTCTCCCCTTCATACTCCTTCCCCTCGCCTCATGCCCAGTCCAGTCCATTAGATCTGTGTAAGTCTAAAGCTCACTCAAGTGAAAAGATGGTGGAGCCTCCTTTCAGTGCCAGCAAGCTACTACAGAATCTAGCCCAGAGTGGTATAAAGAACTTATCACCTTCTCCCCCTCCTTTACACTCACAAATGGTGATGAGCAGAAGGCAAAGCCCAGAACTTGAGCTTGACAAGCCTCAGGCCCTCTTGGATCGACTTGTCACTCCAAACAAGCGGAATAAAGCCTCTGCACTAGATAGAGGTTCCCCTCCTGCTCTCCCACCTCACAAATGTAACCAATCACCCTCGGCGTCAACACAGATTGAAAATCTTCTAGAGAAGCGCACTGTACTGCAGCTTCTGCTGGGAACAGCTTCCCAGAAAGAAAGAACCAGTGGGCACAGATTCTTTGAAGTAACCTCAGGGAGGCTGGAGAAGCCTCAGACAGGCACTGTCAACTGTGACAGCTCAAACAAGCCTTCTCTGGACTGTAAGATCAAAACAGAGCCAGTAGAGGAGAATTTTTCATCAGACAGCTCTAATGATGGGGTGTACCATCAGAGACGATCATCACAACAACACTCACCCATTGCTGAAGCACAGGACACAACAAAATCTGAGTTATGTCCTACAGAAACAGCTGCCAAATTTGGACTTCTCAGCCAGCTTTTGAAACAGCAGAATGCTACCTACCATTCAAACCCACACACTAGGCTCCTCAGGAACTCTGTAAAAGAGGAGCCAATGGATTTTCAGAGCCCCGTTCCTAAAAAAAGAAAACTGACAGAGTGCCTAAGTAATGAACTTTGTCATTCGTCTGGAGATACCACTCGTGATAATCTCATGTCTGGAACACCTGAAATTAATGGCAGAGGCCTAGTAATACCAAAAGAGGAAGATGTATTTGGAAGTCCCAAGAGCAAAACTTCTCTCTCCAGAGAAAGCCAAGGCTTCAATGTTCTCAAGCAGCTCCTCCTGTCAGAGAACTGTCTGAATGAGCTGTCCCAGCCCAGAGGGACAGCCCAGCCCCCAAGTCCTTTCATCCCTCAGGCAAACTGTGCAGCCAATGGGAACTTATCCCAGTCTGGTTCCCCTTACGAGTTGTCAAACTTGCCTTGGTACCCATATTCTCTCAGTGCGGGTCCCAAAACAGCACCCACACCTGTTGATACCACAGGGGGGTCGTTAGTTTGGGCTAAATCCTCTCCCAAAGCCAGTCCTAAACCAGTTAAAAAAGAACCTGAGGGGTCTCCTGGAGGAACTTTTAACAGGGAGGAGAGATCCAGTCCAGACTCACCCCCTTTAACCAGGTCTAACCCGATTCTTTACTACATGCTTCAGCGGGGAAACGGTCAGCTCAGACCTGAGATCCAGGATCAGGTGCAGCCGGCCCACTGTGTCATGAGCGCAAAAGTGGAGCCGTACAATGACTATGAGCACAGGATAAACTCTCCAGTCCACAGACAGACTCATAGCCAGAGAGAAGAGAGCCTAAACGGTTCTGTGGGAAAATGGTAGATGTGAACTACCAAAGACAGAGAGAATCTGAAGAACTGCATGTACGGTCATTTGTCTATAATATGTTTCTTCTTCTTTTTTCATCTTAAAACAGAAACTGAATAAATTTGGTCGTTCAGTTTAAAACATTTGGCTGTTTGCCACCGCTTGAAATGATTTCATTTTAGTACATTTGTTGTTGTTGTTTTTTATTGATGTCAGAATGAGATGGTCACATCATGATTCTCCATTTGCATACACATCTTTGAATGTTTTTTGTATGTATGCTAAGCTAAATTCTCTGTTCAGCACAATGTAATATGTCCACCACAAAAAGCTTTTTCTCCTTCCACAACTGAAATATTTATGAAGAACATCCAATTACGTGTATTATTGATGAATCCAGAAATGTTACTGCTAATTTCACACTATATTTATCTACGGCCAAATCAGGATCCTTTTCATTTTACTGAGACTTATAAAATTGTACAGTCTAAGCACAATATTGGATTTGTGGCATTGAAATGTCCAGTTATAAAGTATATTTTCTTACAGCAGAACGGCAGTGTAATCTATCAGGTATCTTTCTTGTAAAGCTAGCTGAGGTCAAGAAGGGTTTCACATGTGATCGAAAGGTGGAATGTTCCTCAATCGTAACTTAGTCAGATTTACCGTGCTTTATTTTTCATCTGGAATGAAACTATAGCTGTTATGTGGTGATAATGGCATGACGTTTTAAAAAACAAAATACCCGAGTGTCATATTTTTAGCCAATGAAATGTACCTTTTTACAATTTTGTATAATTTGTTGTTTTGTATCTTATCTAAATATCCTATATGTAGCATTCACACATTTACGGTGTTGACAGGAAGTTGAATATTGAAAGAGATTATACAGTGTGTCCACCAAAGCCATGAGGGTTAATTATGATATTTATGGACTATAAATGTTTCAGGATACTGTGTGAATCAGACACTCTACTGTGAGAAGGGATTGGAATTCAGTCTGATTCTTTTGTGTTTTATGTTCACTTTATTTGATTGAAATAATTTGTTGTTGTTTTTTTCAGATAGGCCCATCACTCGAGTCTTAAACATTAAACTACAAAAGAAAATCATAGATTTTATTCCACATTCTCTGTACGATTCAAATGTTTTGACAATGATTAGATACATTTATGTAAATATTGCTTTCAAGATTACTATTTTGTATTGTTCAAGACCTAAAAAAAAAAAAAGTTTTTAACGTCTTGCAGTGTACATACTGTATGAAAACTGTAATAATGTACATAGGGTACTGGAGGATGATACTTTTCTGCATGTCTATGTTGTGCTAACGATAATCTTTGTTCATCTACTGCTCTGTTCGAGGCTCTTTGCTGCCTGTAGCATGCACACGCATGGGGAGTCCCTGTGTTATGGGGAAATGTCAAGTCTTAAAATAGATGCTTTTATCATGGAGAGATGGGTACTTAAACCATAATCTGTCTGCAAATTGCAGTCCTAAACTGTTGAGCCTGTGCTCAAACCTGAGGAAAATGTGCGTAATTGTGTAAAAACAACATTGTTTAATTTAGAGTCTCATCAATGTTGTGGCTCTGCATTGTGAATAACTGAAACTTTAAAAAAAACTTCATATACTCCTATGTTGACTGGAGACTTTTAGTTTTCTTATGTTCTGTCTTTGGTGTTTATTTGCACTGATAGCATAATAAAATATTGAAATGCACAGAACTGAATGAAGGTTTGCCATCTTTTACCTGTATTTATGTATCCAAGGTTACAATGTATCGGAAATGTCTTTTACTATATAACCTTACATGAGGCCAGAGGTAAAAATTTTTACCCTTGATAGTTGTCGATTTTACACGTGAACGTGAGTAAACTACTCGAAAGCAAGCTTTTTATCATACTATTTTTTTTTCTTCAGCAGTTTAAACTACTTAGATGTACACAGAACATCTCCAACGAAGTGTGAGAAGGTTAACCAATACTTAACATTTGAACTACCAGCATTCATTATGACCATCATCTCTGTGTTTTTGACTCCAAATCAAAAATGAACAATATATATAAAAAGACTTTCCAAACTGGTATTTGCATGACTGCCAGTTCTCAACAATGGCAGGAAAGAGATGGTAAGGAGGATTTGGAAAACATTGTTTCATAATTACGGGAAAACAGGTAGTTGGCTTCAATTTTGAAAAGTGTCTTGTCCAACCATTGTGAGAGAAATGCATTGATCTCAAGTTTGCACTTCCTTTCGGCCACTTAAAACAAATGTCAGAATAAACATTTCAAGCCAAAATTGTTGCGTTGCATGCGTCAATGGATTACAGCATTTCCCCATTGTTGTAGCTCAAAAGTATTTGTAAGATTATAATTATATATAGTTTCAACAAAATATCAAGTCTAGTCACATTTGTTTGAAAGAAAAATGACGTTTATGCAAAAATATTTTTAGAAAATGAATGTTAGGTTTTTTAAATATGCAATATGAAAAAACAGAATCTATATAATTTATAAAATGATTGCAAAACTGACTCAGAAAAGCGAGGTTAGTTGTGAGACAATGTCTAGCATTTTTTCTTTCTTTGATACTTTTGTTTTTAATGCAGTGACATTCAAATATTTTTTAGTGTGATGAAAATGTCAAAATAATTTTGGGGGTTCTGCAAAGTGAATAAGAATTGTGATTTTACATTTTACTTCCAGGCTCTTTCTGATGGAGAGGCTTTTGTCTGCTGTCTTCCCACTTCTTTAATCCTCTAATGACGTTTTTTTTTTCTCTTCAACTTCATATAACCTTTCCTCCATGTGAACTTCTCCATCCAGAGATCTTATCATGCGTGAACTGCCAGTAACCCCCGATTTCCTTTTGGCTTCAAAACAGAAGAGAGGGCAAATGCACAAGTCACACGTCTGAACCGAGGTCAACGTTTAAAGCGCACAAACGGCCGTTTGTCTGTCTCACATCCTCTGATATCCTGGACTGGGCAGGGGGGTTGGAGGCGACCCAGCGAGCTCCTTAACATTTAACTACAGCCCACTACACAAAGGAAATGGTTTGGTCTTCCAGGAAGACGAAGTACTGGGGTCAGCAAGGTTCAGCAGGTTGAGATGGAGGTTTGGAGCCGCTGTGTGTATTTCCTACGATGAAGCACGGTTTCCCGCGTCAATGTTTAACCAGACTCCATCACAAGCCACAGCTGCTGGTTTAGAAAGCACTCATTCACAGGTGCTTAATTACAGTTTAGAGGTTATCTGATTGAATGATTCTCACAGACTGCTGTCAAAAGGAAATAAGTGTATACCATTTTATTCGTACGAATTTTACGAGGTGGCTAATTCGTACTAAATCATACGACCTCACTCGTTCAAATTCGTACGATTTTTGCTAATTCGTACATATTTTACGAGTTACCAAATTCGTATGAATTCGTACGAATGACCTACCCCTGACCCCGCCCCTAAACCTACCCATCACGTGGGTTTAGGCAAATTGTACGAATTCGTACGAGTGAGGTCGTATGAATTAGTACGAATTAACAATCACTCGTACGAATTCGTTCGAATTGGTCGTGAGATAGCGTTGGTCTGTCTGATCTATCTATCTATCTATCTATCTATCTATCTATCTATCTATCTATCTATCTATCTATCTATCTATCTATCTATCTATCTATCTATCTATCTATCTATCTATCTATCTATCTATCTATCTATCTATCTATCCTTCTCTCTCTCTCTCTCTCTCTCTCTCTCTCTCTCTCTCTCTCTCTCTCTCTCTCTCTCTCTCTCTCTCTCTCTCTCTCTCTCTCTCTCTCTCTCTCTCTCTCTCTCTCCCTCTCTCCAAGGCTTTTTAAACATTTAGTCTTAATATTAATTATGTAATTTACCAGTCCATATAGGCTATTGAATTATATTACTTTGCAAAAGCATTTTTGTGGTTACTTTTTGAACAAGAAGCTTTCTTTTAATGAAAGTTGCAAATGTTTTTTCTTCCTTATATTGTGACGTACAGTGAAACGGCTTCCCATACAAGAAAAAATGTAGGACAGGTTTGGATTTTGTCCATCTGGAATTGATTGGATCATTGATCGGTGGTTTGCCATTGGTGGATCTCATGTGAGTGACATCTTGCCCCGCCCTCACACCAGTAAACACGTCATCAGAGAAGAGATGAGGTGAGTTGCAAGAAGGAAGGGAAGTTATTTTGATGAAAGAATATGAGGGCACATGAATTAAAAAATTACGGATAAATCACTTTTAATAAATACTGTGACATTCCATAAAAAAGGGTCCATTTTAATTTCATAGTACCTGAAACTTGCTTAACTTTGAAGGAATTGTAAAAAGCACTTAATAAAATTGACTTGACTTATGAGCAATAAGACACTAGACTGCATTTCTCTGCACATCATGCCTAACAAACACCCATTAACTGTGGTAAAATCACTGTAACACATGTCTTCGTGTGACCTATTGCTTTAATCAGAGCTGTATGCTGTAGATATTCTTTGTTTCTTTTATTTTACCTACTCCTGTGTGAAGGTGAGCTTCTTGAAGTCTGTGCCAGTGCCTCAGGGGTTTTGACCTTTGTCTCTCTCTGACATCTTCAGCTCTCTCACTGTGGTTGATCTGCAGTTGCCCTGCAGCTGTGACCCCCTCCCGTTTCCCAGCAGCCCCCTCTTCAAAGGCCACCAGAAATGTGACAGCTGGCAGAAGAACTTCTCCTTTCATTAAGAGCGCTCACTGAGCCCTGTGGTTGATCACGGGCAACTGGTGGTGTGTTGACCTCGTGCCACAGAGCATAAAAGAGCTTAAAATTGATTCACACTTAACTTATGTTGGAGTTAACGTTTCATGGGTTAATGGCACGATAAATGGCCTGATATTTCAAGTTCATCGCTGGAACAGATGTGGTCCCATGACCTTTGATAATATAAGGGTTTTGTGCATCGATATGAGAAATCCTTGAATATGCAAGTTCAAAAAAAATAGTTTTAGTTCACGGTTTCACACATTGAAAATGAAACGTGTTCATGGAAGATTTTTCAATTAAGCTTAATAAATGGAGCAATTAATTAATTTTTGAGAGTGTTTAAATTAATATTTTTATATTCTGTAT